AGCAAGTCAACAGTTGTGATGGAGCAGGATATCCTTGAACTTCTGCATTCTTCTCTTTACAATTCTTTTGTTTTGCTCCATCTACAGAAACTGCTTGTGGGACACACACACTCTCCCACCAAGTGCTGTTTCCAACATCAGAACATTTTCCTCTCGACTTCTTTCTGGATTCTGTTTAATCAACATCCTGTACATCGCAGTTCTATGAAATGTAATTAACGGCTCTTCAATGCAATTCAGTGAAGAATTCATCTAGTCGCACAGTTGTAACTTGCAAATCAAGGTGCAGGCAGAATAATTTATTGTAAGATAAATGACGTATTGTTCAGGTTAAGGGAGGCTATTTTTACTGTAAGCACTTTTATGATTTTACATCTAAATTTGTTTTGTATTTGTGGTGTCTATCCTCCAATTGCAAGTAACACTAATGTAAGGTAACACATTCATTGGACATATAATGGGTCATATTTAGAGGGTCTTTGTTGGAATAGATACTAAAAGTGCCCAGGGTTTTGTCATGCTTTGTATCCATATGTGTGGACACAAATTCTCTCAAAGGCCAACCATTTCCTTGAAAATGCCATTTCACAGCATTCGAACAGTTGAAATCTTTCACTGAGTTACTTTAAACATTCACTTCAGAAAATGCAAATAACGTAGCTCAGCATTCTCATTAATCCAATCTTTCTATAGTAAACCTAAAATAATAGACTTTAGTTAAACAAATTGGTGCTGGGCACATATTCTGTATCAAAATGTGTTCATTCTATTTTTAGAACACTGAAGGGCACTGTCTGAAAATGTAAAATGAACTTGCCTACATAACAATAACTGCACTTCAAAATGTTATTAATCATTTAAAACTCTTGTGATCTTTCACCCTGATAAACATTCAATAAGTTCAGATGCTATTATTCCAGGTAGCTCTGGGTCTCTGCAGTCCTCTCCTGATATTTCTCCTTCTGCCCTCCATTCTAGCGCTCCCTCACTCTCTCACTAGTGAGCCCATCCCACTCATTTTTTTTGGGCCTTCTTGCTGGCTGTTCTAAGAGGGCCTGCTGCAGTCCCAGCAATGGCCTCCAGTCCCTGTGGTGCTGTGGGTCCTGATGCACTAGCAACCTCTGATTGGTCTGCAGTTCTTGGAAGGCATAGAAACACCAACAGCAGACAGCCTGCCATCTTATCCCACCAGCTTTCTGACAAGTGGAAGGGCTACCACTGTAGCTATTAAAGTCAGCCCCATCTGTTTAAATGGCGCACTTAGTGATACCTCTAGCTGTGGTTTGAGCCCAAGAAACTATTTTGTGATGCATAACTGATTGCTTGCAACTGAAGAAACAGGCAGCGTATATTTTCTGATTCTGTTTTTTCTAATCTATGATACACTTAAAAGAAGGCTTAATAGAGAGTTAATGCAGTTTGTAACCATGATGTTACTCAGACAATTAACATCTTAAACCTAGCTATGCATCTGTGTGATAACTCCAACACATTGCTAAAGAGAGAGTTAAAATGCAGATCTGTGATCCTGTTTTCAAGTTCCCAATCTTGACTGTGCTGTCAAGGGATGGTACTAAAGACAGGCTGGGAACTGCAGCAAAAACGATAACAATATTAAAAGTCAGTGGCAATATTAAAAGGTTAGTCAGCCAGGCTTTCCCTGCACAACAACAAGCAGTCAAGAGAGGCCTAGCACAGAGGGTGAGCAACACATTGCACGCACAACCTTTACGTGGATAATAATGTTTAGTATAGAGACTGCAACAAGAAGTGTAAGGTTTTATTTTTAATTTAAAAAGTTGTAATAAAACTTTGCTCTCTCCTAAAGTTGCCTCCAGATTTAAAGTTGCTATATAAGACTTTCAAACTGGCAGCAAATGATTTTCATACAAACAGTGAAGCCAGAAACATGATTCACAAGAAACAGTATCCCACAGACCCTTCGGCGTCTGTGTAAGAATTTGACCTTAGGTCCAATGGTTCAACTCCTGTTCAATGATGTCTTTTTCCAGGCTACATACAGTTATCTGCTGTCAGTGTATCATTGATTCTTTTAGTTTAATTCATCTACCAGATTTGAATCGATTATAACTATTAACAGAATAAAATCTTTACACTGTGAAACATCATTAGAATATTTTAATCACTCTCAAAAGTACAGAAGAAACCCTATGATAGAAAATTCTTCCTTTCTAATTTGACAGTGAATGCATATTGGTAAACAATGTATCCACTTTTTGAGAACTGTCATGAAAATAGTCTGAGATAGCAAGAACTGCAGATGATGGAGTTTCAGATAGCACAGTGTGGAGCTGGAGAAACACAGCAGGCCTGGCAGCATCAGAGGAGCAGGAAAGTTGATGTTTCAGGTGGGGTAAATAGTCTGTTGGGATTAGGAATGGTGATGGTGTGTTACAGATCTCTCTGGAAGTATGTTGTAATCTGGAGCTATGGAGAATGATAATAGAGGCTCCAAATTTCTTTCCAACACATGGCTGATCAAAAATCTCTCCTGCTGTTACCTCCTGCCAGTGGCAAATGCTCAAAGAATTTACAAATTGATAATCAACCTGTTTGAACATGTCATGAATGTAGCTTCCCTTGCCCATCAAGTCCTTGAGGGGTCCTAAACCCAGAACATCCAATTCAGAGTGAGGGGCACTACTCACTTCACAAAAAGATTTCCTCATTGGAAACAGTCAACATCTTCAAATTTATAGAAATTATTTTGGCTCATAGATGTTTACAGCATAGGAGGAGGTTATTTTGCCAAGCATGTCTGTACCAGTCATCAAAGATCTGACTACACTAATCCCATCTTCCAGTTTATGGCACATAGCCCTGGAGGCTATGGCAATGCAAGTGAATATGTAAATACTGCTTAAATATTTCAAGAGTTTTTGACTCAAACACCCTTGCAGCTAGTAAGTTGCAGAATTCCACCACCTTCTGGGTGAAAACATTTCTCCTCAATGCTCTATTTAGCCTATTACTTCTTGCCTCCAATCTATGGTCCTTGCTATTGACACCTCTACTAATGGAATTAGCCTTCCTATCCACTCTATCTATTCCCTCTCAATTTCATTGGCCTCTATCAGGTCCCATTTCAACTTTCACTTCTCCAGGGCAAAACAACTCCAGCCTATATAACCTCTCCACATAATCCAAACCTTCCAGCACAGCTAGCATCCTGGTAAGTATCCACTGCATCCTCTCTAATTCAACCAAATCCTTCTGATTATGTGGTGACCTGCAAGGAGTACTCCACTTGTGGCATAACCAGTAGTTTATACAGTTCCAGCATAACCTCCCTGCTCTATTCTGTGCCTTTGCTAATAAAGGAAGTATCCCACATGCCTTCTTATTACCTTACCTAACTTCAGTGATTTGTGAATATGCAAGTTCCCACTGATCTTCAATACTTTTCAGGCATCTACCACTTATAAGGCAACCCCTTGCCTTGTTAGCTTCTCCTAAGTGCATTACCTCACATTTTTCTGGATTCAATTCTATTTGCTTGTGCTTTGTCCACCTCAACAGTCTGTTGATATTCTCCTTCAGTTTATAGCTATTTTCCTTATGATATACCATCATATCAATTTTTATATCATCAATGAATCTCTTCATCACATCTCCTACATTTAAGTTCAAATCATTAATGGACACCACAAACAGCAAGGGCCCCAGCATCAAGCCTTGCGGAACCCCACTAGAATCAAACTTCCTTTACACAAACATTCCTCATCCATCATCCTCTGCTTCCTGTCTCTCAGCTAATTTTGGATCCAATGTGTTCTTGACCAATCTGTTATGAAGAACCTTAACAAAAGCCTCATTGAAGTCCATTTAGATGACATCAAATACATTACTTTCTTCAAATCTAAAAACAAAGAAGAGTTACCAGACACAATACATTAACTCTGATTTCTCTCCACAGATGCTGGCAGACCTGCTGAATTTCTCCAGCAATTTCTGTCATTAACATGGTTATCTCCACAAAAGGTTTGATCAAGTTTGTCAAAAGCAAACTTCAGTTCAGAAATTGATACTGACTATCCCTGATTAATGTGTAACTCTGCAAGCGCAAGTTATTCTGTTCCTTAGGATTCTTCCAATAACTTGCCTACAATCAAAGTTAGACTGATTGTCCTGTAATTACCCAATCAATTCCTTCCTCCTTTTTAAAATAATCAGATAGCTCCAGTAGGGAGTCCTCTGGCACCTCAGCTGTGGCCAGACAGAATTTGAAAATTACAGCTAGGACCACTGATATCTCCTCCCTTGCCTCCCTCAACAGCCTGGGATTCATTCCGTCCAGGCCTGTGGATTTATCCTTTTCTAAGGCTGCTAAACCTTCTGATAACTCGTTTTTCTCCACATTAATTTCTTCTAATATTTCACAGTCCTCCACCCTGATGTGTATACCTGCATCATCATTTTCCATTATGAAGATCATTATGCCCACTTCTTGTGGGTCCACACACAGATTACCTCAATTTTCCCTGCTTTTTCCCTCGTTTTCCCCTTGGTCTTTATATACCACATTTACAAAACCCCCTTAGGTTTTTATTTACTCTACCTGCCAATACTTTCTCCTGCATTCTCTTAGATTTCCTAATTTCCTTTTCAAGCTTTCCTGCATTTTTCACACTCCTCTAGGACTGTGCCAGACATTAAATTCTCTTTTTCACTTAATCCTAACATTTACATTCCTTGATATCCAGGGCTTTCGGTCTTTGTCCCACCCTTTGTTCTTATGGAAACAAAATTACAAATTGTGCAAAAGGCTACAGGTATTGTACCTCTCTAAATCTCAGTCCAACATGCTTACCATGATAAATCACTATGCATAGTGGTTTGTTTTCATTATGAAATCAATAAACTTTACTTACAGTGAATGAGTGCCTGGACATGAATAATACAGCGTCTGCTCATCACACTATTCATGAATCGATTGAAGATGCGGATTAAGATATAATATCTATACTCTGTGTTCCTACCTGAGGATCCGACAGACGTGAGATGTCTGGGTAAAGGTAAAACTTTATTCCCTCTCCAGCTCCAGGTAGAGTCACTCCTCGAATCAATAAAACCAGCAGCATCAGATAGGGGAATGTTGCTGTTACATACACCACCTGAGAATGAAAGGAAGCACACCATCAACTTGGCCTTTGTACTGTTTTCCAACCAAAGAATAATAAACAGTGGTGACTGTTAAACACTATGCAATTAATATGAAAATCCCAGCTTTTACTGTCATAGAGTCACAGTGATGTACAGCATGGAAACAGATCTTTCAATCCAACTTGTCCATGCTGACCAGATATGCTAAATAAATCTAGTCCCATTTGCCAGCATATCGCCCATATCCCTCCAAACCCTGCCTCTTCATATACCCATGCAGATGCCTTTTAAATGCTGGAATTGAACCAGCCTCCGCCATTTCCTCTGGCAGCTCATTCCATACATGCACCACCCTCTGCATGAAAAAGTTGCACCTTAGGTCCCTTTTAAATCTTTTCCCTCACACCTTAAACCTATGCCTGCTAGGTTTGGACACCCCGAACCCAGGGAAAAGACCTTGTCTATTCACCCTATCCATGTCTCTCATCATTTTATAAACCTCTATAAGGTCAGCGCTCAGTCTCTGATGCTCCAGGGAAAACAGCCCCAGCCTATCCAACCTCTACCTATAGCTCAAACCCTCCAATCCTGGCAACATCCTTGTAAATCTTTTCTGAACTCTTTCAAGCTTCACAACGTCCTTCCTATAGCAGGGAGACCAGAATTGCACACAGTATTCCAAAAGTAGCCTAATCAATGTCCTGTACAGCTGCAACATGACCTCTCAACTCCTATACGCAATGCACTGAACAGTAAAGGCAAGCATACCAAATGCCTTCTTCACTATCCTATCTACCTGCGATTCCACTTTCAAGGGACTATGAACCTGCACTCCAACGTCTCATTGTTCAGCAACACTCCCCAGGATCTCACCATTAAGTGTATAAGTCCTGCCGTGATTAGCCTTTCTAAAATGCAGCAACTCATCTTTATCTAAATGAAACTCCATCTGTCACTCCTCAGCCCATTGGCCCATCTGATCAAGATCCTGTTGTATTCAGAGGTAAGCTTCTTTGTTGTTCACTACACCTCCAATTTGGTATAATCAGCAAAATTACTAACTACACCACCTATGTTCACATCCAAATAATTTATATAAATGACAAAAAGCAGTGAACTTAACATTCCCTGATTATTGCATTAACAATTGATAAACAGAATAATAAAATGCATGATCCTGTCATTTGCCTTATGTAATGTAACCAATCAGATGTGCACGGAAATCAACAGCCAAACAACAATTCTAAATGAAAACCAAAAGAACTGCGGATGTTGTAAAT